GCAGTCCTGCCGGTGGGCCTGGCACCCTCCGGAGGGGACAACATGGCCCCTGTTTAGGTTGGGTTGGGGGCACTGTCGGCGCCTTCTGGACCTGGTTTGTCCTGCTTTAGGGACAGGAGGGGTGGGACAACAGGGACTGAGCTTTCTGAGATTGTTTTCTCCTGAATGAAGTCAGTGAATATTAATTGAGCCATTTCTAGCTAGTGGCAGGATGATTAGGGCACAGGATTTTTTTATTAATAAAGTAAATAAAAACTTTCAGAAGGCAACAATGTGAGAGTGGTAAGAGACAGCACCCAACGTGAGACACGTTAGATCTGTGCTGTCCAATGTGATGACCCCTAGCTACACATGGTCAACTTTAAAGTAATTAAAATGAAATAAAATTAAAAATTTAGTTCCTTAGACACACAAGCCACATTTTAAGAGCTTGTTAGTCGCATGTGGCTAGTGGCTACCATATTGAATGTTAGCAACATCATAGAGTATTCTGTTGGCACCTTTGTGTTTGCAAAGACTTTTCAGAACAGTTCTCTCCCAGGTCTTTGCAGAAGGCTGGTCGGGAAGCCTTACTGGCAGGACAGACAGACAAGATTTCGTTGTGAATCCTGATGACTCTGCCTCTCCCATGGTTCATGGTGCTCATTGAGCCTGGTCTATAAAGTGAGACTCGTCATTTCTGGGATGTGTGAGGGAGTATGAAGGTTAAGGGAGATGAGGCAAGTCGAGCACTTTGCGGGATGCTGGTACAGCATAATCATTCTATCAATGGCAGCAGGCCTTACTGTACTACAGGTGAAAAAGGAGGCTCAAAGAGGGAAGTGGCGTGGCGAAGGCCACTGAGCTAATAAATGCCAGGCTCAGAATGCCAACTCCCGTCTCTTATCTTGCCTCTACTGCTCCTGCCAGCCCCGATCTGGACAGAAGAGCTGTGTGGAGTGCGCTGAGTAGGAGGCAGTCTGCAGGGTGGGCTGGGCCCAGGGCCAGGCAGCATTGGCCTGGGGCAGAAGCGCTGATGGATGTGAAACCCAGGGTTTTCCAGCTGGGTGCAGGAATGCTGCTAGTCCTGTGTTATTTAAAATCTCTCTCAGGCCTTGGAATTTAGCTCTTCCCCACATCTCTTCACGCTAGAAACTCAGAAAGGAGCTTTGTTCGGGCCCAACAAAGCCCTGGAGCCTTGAGTGCCCCATGAGATAGTTTTAGAATGAACGAAACTGTTCTTGGGGCCTTCCAGGAACCACCGTCTCCTCCGGGAAGCCCATCCTGATTTCTGACAATTCCTTCCTTCCCCTCACTTTTGTTCAAATTCCCAGAGTCCTCTGTACCTCTCCAGAGTCCGGATTGTTGCTTGCTCCCCATAGACTGAGGGGTTTATTCACCTTCTTTGTGCCAGGAACATATCACTTAGAGGTTAACAGAAGTAAAGGTGTGACCCTTTTTCCATCCCCAGTTGAAAGACCCCCTGAATTCCATCCATTGGACCACAGAGGTCATTTGTAGCCTCTCTCAATCTCCCCTCCCCCAGTCTTACCCCATGTCTAGCCCTGGGATCCCTTGTCAAGGCCTGAAGCAGAGTAGGTGCCTGGTTTGTGCCTTTTGTAGTAAAAAGGGGCCGTTCAGGTCCCCTCTGAGTACAGACTTGCCCCAGCTGGGAGTGAGCCAGTCAATGGAGGGGACCAAAGACCAGATGCCTCCTGAAGGAGGAGACACAGGTCCTGGGATGCCTCACAGGGCCTCCTGCTTCCCAGCAGCTGCATGGAGCTGGGCCTCTCCCTGCAGAGGAGGAAGGTGGGTCCCAGGCTGCAGGGCTCAGAGGGGACTTTCAGGCCCCTTTCATGCTGGGCTGCAAGGCTCCTATGCAGCCCGTTGAAGACACCATGTGGTTTGGAAAGCCTGGGGCTTTGGGCCTGGCCTGTAGTTTGCCAGCAGCATGTTCTTTCCCACTTTGGCCCCAGATGGGCATGGCCATGTGCCCCTTGCCCACAGCCCTGTTTAGCTGAAGCTGTCCTGCTTGACAAATAGTCCATTTGCTTCCTGTGCTGGAGCTGGAGGGGCTGCCAGCCTGGTAAAAGGCTATAATTAGCAGAGAAGAGTGGATGTGATTGCACACTGGCATTGACAGTTAATTTTATATTCAGACGGAAACATAAACTGATGTCATCAGAGAAGTAAATATCATTTAGAAATCTTGCAGTTTCTGGGAAGGGTTATGCTGGCCTCTCCCCATGCCCACTGCCCTGAAACATTTGATTGAAGAGCCCACATCAGCCTGACTATGTGGGGAGCCGCTTTGGGGGTTGCCTGCCAGGCCTCTGGGAGGGCAGGGGTGGCAGCGCCTCTGGGTGGACCAGGAGAAACAGGCCTGGGATGGCTGGGCGCACAGTGGTGGGGAATTCAGGAGGCCTGGGTTTGCGTTTGCTGTGATAGCTTTTCCTACGGCTGGAAATGTGGCCAGGCTGACTAATGAGGAAAATGCGATGCTTTGCAACAGGAGCGGGGTCCGAGGAAGTTTTGTTTCCTGCTGCAAGGCTGTTCTGGAGTGGCCCTGGGGCTCTGGGGAGCTTGTAAAAACAGAAGAAGCCACTGACTGCGCTTATGGAGAGGGCTGGGGGCAGTTCTGCTCCGAATTGGGGCCAGTGACAGCTCCAGTGTTTTGGAGATGGTTTCCAAGGCAGGATACCTTCCCTCAAAAGCGAGGGGGACGCGGGTAGGGATGAGGGAGGGACAGGCTAAAGCTATGGCCGCCCGCCCGAGAAGAACTTTTTTTTTTTTAACAACAGGAAACATAGAACTCTCAAAAGTGTACGATTCAGTTCTGAAAATATTAATATGTTCTGCTGTTAGTTCAGTGACAACATCAGAATTACTTTTCATCAAGATAGAAAATCAAACCCCACCTCTGCAGCCCTGAAGTTCACCTAGTCCTCGCATATTTAATTCATTCCCCGACCTGGGCTCTGAAGACTTCACTTCTCTGTGGGGTTCTTCTTCAACTGTAATCCTCAGCTTTGGGGTGGAGGGATATCTAGGCTCTGTGTCTGGCTCAAGGTTAGGATGAGTGAGTGATTCCTTCTAAGTGCAGTAGTTTGGAAGAGGGGGACTTAGCTTTTTTAAGCTGCTTCCCTTGTTTTCAGAGGACCCACAGGGCTTAAGTGGACCTTGAACAATGATTTCACCATGTTCTGGGTTTTGGAGCATGAACTGACCAGATAGTCTCTGGCTATTTCTCTGTCAAAAGTAGATTTTATTTCCTATGATCACCATTTTCCTGTGTAGGGCTCTGTGTTTGTGTGTCTTGCCTTAGAAATTTTAAAATTTATCCAGGTGGGTAAATTTGATGACATCATCTTACAGGTTTCCTCATATGGACAACATGTTAATCAGCGGCTTACCTCCGAGTTCATCAATGCCTTCGGTACCCCGGGGGGGTGTGGAGGCCCCGAATCCAGGATTATTTTTTCAAACCAAGGGGGTGGTGCTTAGCTATGGATGACAGCAAACTGCTGGGCCTGAGGGTGAGGGCCATGGCTTCCTGGTAACCCTCTGTTTCTAAGTACGCTTGGTCTGTTTGACTTTCGACATCCTTGTCACTTGTCAAAGCCTAAGCCTTAAGGGAAGCAGCACTTCCCTTTGCCCAGGCCAGTCTTGGCCCTCTTTAGAAGGAAGTGGACGGGATCTACCTGGAGGGCATGCTATAGCCAGGTTAGGGCCAGGGTGGACCAGTCACCGAAGGGACAGCCTCCTCAGGGTTTCGGATGTTGACTGTAGGGTGTCTGTGCTCATGGCATATCTTGCCATCGTCTTGTCTGTGTTATCCTTACATCCTTTACTGGGACAGTGGCCGACAGCACCATGGCTTTCGTTGCCACGTTGCCTTCACTCAGTGGAGAAGTGCCTCTAACGATTTGCCCCCGCCCTCAGGATGTGTGGCCCAGGAGGTCAGACTCCTTGGACAGGCAGGAGACTGGGTGGGCCGCATTGACCCGAAACCCAAGGGGGCTCTTGTTGGGAAGCCCAGCTCACATCCATTCAACGGACATTGATTGCAAATGCTGATTGTACTTCCTAAATGCCAGAACTGTATGTGCTGGGTGCTGGGGATGCCTGAAATAGTTGAAAAAATCCCTCCTGGCACGGAGCTCATATTCTTGTGGAGAAGACAAACAATTAAAAAATAAAAGGAAAAAGGCCATATGTTAAATGCTGGTTAAGTGCAAAGGGGGAAAAATGAACGAGGGAAATGGGATCAGGAGTTTCAGAAGGCAAGATACTTTTAAAATAAGACGGCCTGAGAGGCCTCACTGCGCACAGGTGATAATTGAGCGCGGGCAGGAAGGGGGAGAGGGAGTGAGCCACGTGGATTTCAGGAGGGAGAGCACCCCAGGCAACAGGGGCAGCCCGTGCACAGGCCCAGGTTCTCTGACCCTCTAATGGGCATTTCCCCGACTCACCAGTACTTTTCTCTAAATTTCCAAATAGGGTCTACATTAGTTTGCAAGGGCTGCTACAAGAAAGTACCACAGACTGGGTGGCTTAACCAATAGAAATTTTTTGTCACAGTTCTACGGCTGGAAGTCTAAGATTAAGACGTTGGCAGAGTTGGTTTCTTCTGAGGCCTCTGTCCTTGGTTTCTAGGTGGCTGTCTCCTCCTTGTGTCTTCACATGGTCTTTCCGTTGGGTATGTCTGTGTCCTAATCTTGTCTTACAAGGACAACAGTTGTAATGGGTTAAGGACTGCCCACTTGACTTCATTATAACCTAATCCCCTCTTTAAAGGCTCTGTTTCCTAATACAGTCACATGCTGGGGTACTGGGCTTAGGGCTTCAGCATAGGAATTTTAGGGGAATATAATTCAGCCCCCAACAGGTTCCCTGCACTTACGGTCATCTGGGGCAGGCCCCGCAGTGGCAGGCACAATAGCCCTCAGATAAACTCTTTGGCGGAAAATCAAGTGACTTCTAGTCCTTCTCATCGCTCACGCCCTGTTTGCTTGCTGCAGCTGATTGGGACCCTGGTCCTGTCTGTGGGGATCTATGCAGAGGTCGAGCGGCAGAAATATAAAACCCTCGAAAGCGCCTTTCTGGCCCCGGCCATCATCCTCATCCTCCTCGGAATCATCATGTTCATCGTGTCCTTCATTGGTGTGCTGGCCTCCCTTCGTGACAACCTGTGCCTTCTTAATGTGGTGAGTCGGCTGGTGTGTGGGGGGTCCTTGCAGTCCTCGAAAGAGGTGGGGAGACGGAGACTGTCCCATGGTCTTCAGGCAGCTCAGTTTTTTCAGTCCTTGCCTCGAGCCAGCTCTTCTGGAGGGTTTCCTGGATGAGCCTATCTGTCCATGTTGGCCCAAGAATGCCCAGGCCACCTCCACTTCTACTATAAAGGCTGATTTGGATGCAGTTCTTCTTGCTTACTTACACCCTGTGTTGGTTTAGACTCTCAGTTGAAATTGGGAGTAACCACACTCAATCCAACAAGAGCAAGCAAAACCAAAAACGTTGGTAGTGAGTTCTTAGTTCATAAAACCAGCGAACCCTCACAGGGTCCAGAGATGTAGACAGAGCCCTTGGGCTGTCTCTCTTGCTCCCAGCCGGGTGCCTGGCATTGACTTCACTTTCTCTTTGCAGCGGTCATCAGCAGCCTCAGGCCAACAGAGTCCTTGTGGCTCTTGATCCCAGGGAACCTGTCTGGGTAACTCCAGCCAAAGTTCCGGGACTCTGAAGGGTCTGCCCTGGGGTCAGGGGGTGAGATCAGTTCCACCTGCCTCCCTTACTGTGGGGTAAATGATGGCTTCCCAAAGCTGGGGGTACCAGGTGGGCAGATGCATTTGCTTGGCGCCCGCATGTATGATTGACCTCATTCTCTTCCTCATGTGGGAAGTCCCTAAAATCCTCTATAAGCAGGGCCTCAGGGCTGCCTGAGGCTAAACCTTGCTGACATCAGTTTGGACAATGCCTGTTCTGCAATAAAGGTAGGGATGGAGTTCATATCCTCTAAGCCTCAGACATCCCTTTGCCCACTCTGGGGGTCTGGGAAGCCAGTTCTGAGGGGCTCTGCCCACACAGCTGGAAATGCTGCCCTTCCCCGCCCATTCAGCCAGGCCAGTCCCCTCTGCTTTGGGGTAGGCGGAGCGAGGACCAGCTCTCCTGTGGGAGCTGGGGAAGCAGGGTGTGTTTTTCCATCTAGATCCTGCTGAGGAGCCTTGGGACAAATCTCAATAACAGTCTGGCTTGGACAGCTGAGTCACCCTTCCTGACCATTGGCTCCAGAGATGGGTTTTCCCTCAGAATGTCTGTTTACATCCTGTGTCCTCACAGGAGGAAGGGGCGACAGGCCCAGCAGCAGTCAGAGCTCTGACGGAGATGATTCTCCTGGTTGCACTTGACCTTGGATCAGATGGCGCTTCCGCTACCCCTCAAGGTGAATCTCTGAATTTTGTTTTTCAGTTTATGTACATCCTTGGGATTTGCCTCATAATCGAGCTCAGTGGCGGCGTGCTGGCCTTGATCTTCCGGAACCAGGTGGGCCTGTGGTGCATTAATCAGCCCCGAGTATGCTGAGCACCCGCTGTGTGTATCCTGGGCTGTAATACTGGGCATGTGCGGAGAGGAGGGCACGCAGTTCCTCGTGGAGCAATTGTTTTGCTGGAGAGGTGGGCACTGAAAAAGGAAGCCGGAGAACAAGAAAACAGGGTGATGGGAGAGGGCCTGGGGTTCAGGTGGGGAGGACGATAATGAAATAATGGAAAGGAGCCTACCAGGCGGGGCTCAGAGGGAGCAGAGGTCCAGGCAGAGGGAACCGCTGAGGCAGAAGGGAGCTGGACACATGTGTGGACCAGTGTGGATGCCACTTGGCTGAAGGACATGAGTGATGGGGAGGGATGGAAGGTGGAGTTGGAGTGCCGGCAAGTGCAGATCACGTGGGTTCTCAGGACCCGTGGTTTAGGGCTGGGAATTTTCTCTACTGGCAGCGGGAAGCCTTTGCAGAATTTTATGGGGGAGATGATATGATTTGCTTTACATTTTACTCACTGCAGAGGGGGATGTGGGGAGACCAGGGATGTGGAGTACGTGTTGGAGGCAGCGTCGACAGGACTTTCTTGTGCTGAGATATAAGGAGGAGGGCAAAGGAAAGGATGAGAGGGCCACGTGCTGTCAAACCCGCTGGAAGGTTTGCAGAATCAGGGCCCCTGTGAGCTAGAAGGGTTCTCAGGACTCCCGGTCTCCTAGCCCTTCATTTGAGGCCATGTAGCCTCATACTAGCGGTGTGACCTTGGGAAAATACTTAACCTCTTGGCCCCTAGGTTCCTAGCTCATGGAGTCTGGGGTGAGGATTTGATGAGAGAATGAATGTGAAGAACGTGGCATGGTCCTGGCCCCTACTGGACCCTCATTACATGTTAACACTTTTGTCCTGAAGCAGAGAAGGGACTTGGCCAGGTTCCCATAGGAAGCTAGTGGCTGAGTGGGACTGACTGCCAACTCAGAGATCCGTCGTTTCTCTCATAAATTCCTTTGTCTTTCTACCGGCTGTGACAATGGAGGCAGGGCTTGAGGAGCAGGGCCTGTTTATGGAAGCTCAGTTCGCTCTGCCCACTCTCCTGCCTCCACCCCTCGCCGCCCAGACTGCTTGGTTCCTGACAGTCCTGGGCATCACTGTGGGGTGGGTGCCTCGGGGCCGTGGCCAAACTGTCTTGTCAGAAGTTGAACCCAAGGCAGCAGTCACGCTCCTAGACACCAGATTCCCAGACACCAGGTTGTGCCGGTCCCTCAAACGAGCCAGTGACCAACTCCTGCCACACTCTTCATGCAGTTTGGTATTCAGCTGGTATTCTGGCCCAGATGGGAGCAGGGAACAACCTGTTCTGCCTGGGCTTCCTATGTGTGGGCCTTAAACCACAGGTCTGTCTGCACCCCTGGAGGCCAGGGGCCTTCCTGTTTGATGAGCCCGAGGAGTGGGGAGGGGAGAGTCCCATTATATCAATGAAGTCAGGGAGGCACAGAGAGGTTAGGAAGCCCTCCCAAGGGCACACAGCAAGTCAGAGGCAGCTCAGTCTCTTCTTTAATTATTTTTTCTATTTCTTCCACCCCCCCAGAATTATTGGGGTCTAACTGACAAATAAAGTTACAACATATTTAAACTCTAGAGGGTGATAATTTTATATATGTATACATTGTGAAATGATTACCACAGTCAATTAACACACCCATCACCTCACAGAGTTAACTTTTTAGTTTTTAGTGAGACTGCTTCAGATCCATTCTCTTAGCAAACTTTAAGTATATAATACAGTATTATTAACTCTAGTACCAGGTTATATATCAGACCCTCAGAACTTATTCATTTATAACTGAGTGTTTATACCCTTTGACCAACATCTCCCCATTTCCTCAACCCCCAGCCCCTGGCAACTACTTTTCTACTTCCTGGTTCTACAGGTTTGACTTTCTTCTCTTCCTCCTCCTTCTTCCTCTCCCCTCACCCCCTCCCCTTCTTTTTTTTTTTTTTTTTTAAGATTTTATTAATTTATTTTTAGAGAGAAGGGAAGGGAAGGAGAAAGAGAGGGAGAGAAACATCAATGTGTGGTTGCCTCTTGCGTGCCTCCAACTGGGGACCTGGCCCATAACCCAGGCATGTGCCCTGATTGGGAATCAAGCTGGTAACCCTGTGGCTCACAGGTCAGCACTCAATCCACTGAGCCACACCAGCCAGGGTGTCCCCTTCCTTCTTATACCGTAAGTTATACCGTACTATTTGTCTTTGTCTGGCTTGTTTCAGTCAGCATAGTGTCCTCCAAATTCATCCATGTTACATATGGCAGGATTCCCTCCCTTTTTTTGTGGCTGGATATATTATATTATGCTATATATATCATAAACAATATAATATAAACATTGTCTTTTTCTTTATCACATTCATCTGTTGACAGACACCTAGGTTGTTTCTGTATCTTGGCTGTTGTGAACATGGGAATTCTCTTCATGGCAGATAGCTCTTTTAGATAGCGATTTCTTTTCCTTTGGCTATATACCCAGAAGTGGGCAGTTTTTGAGGAAACTTCATACTGTTTTCCATAATGCTTGCACCAATTTACATTCCAACGAACACTGTCCCCTTTTCTCCTCACCAACATTTGTTACCTGTTGTCTGTTTCTTAATGGACATTCATGTGAGATGATAGCTCATTGCGATTTTGATTTGCATTTCCCTGATGATTAGTGATGTTGAGCATCTTTTCATATACCCGTTGGCCATTTGTGTGTCTTCTTTGGAAAAATATCTATTCAAGTCTCAGGCCAATTGTTTAATCAGATTTTTTTTTTCTTGCTGTTGAATTCTAAGGTTTTTAAAAAATAAATATTGGCTATTAACCCCTTATCAGATATATGATTTGTAAATATTTTCTCCTATTCTGTAGGTTGTCTTTTCTTTTTTTTATCATTTCATTTGCTGTGCAAAAACTTTTTACTTTGCTGTAGTCCCACTTGTTTATTTTTACTTTTGTTGCCTATGCTTTTGGTGTTAGATCAAAATCATCATTACCAAAGACCAATGTCAAGGAGCTTACTCCCTATGTTTTCTTGTAGAAGTTTTATGATTTCAGGTCTTAGGTTTAAGTCTTCTATCCATTTTGAGTTGATTTTTGTGCATGGCATAAGATGAGTCCAGTTTCGTTCTTTTGCATGTGGATACACTTTTCTCAACACAATTTATTGAAGACTGTTTTTTACCCATTGTGTATTCTTGGTGTCTTTGTTGAAAATTAGTTGACTATATATGTGTGGGTTTGTTTTTAGGCTCTTTATCCTGGTCCACTGATTATGTGCCTGGTTTTATAACAATACCACACTGTTTTGATAAATATAGCTCTGTAATATAGTCAGAAACCAGGAAGTATGATGCCTCCAGCTTTGCTTCTCTTACTCAACATTGGGGTCTCCTGTGGTTCTATACAAATTTTAGAATTTTTTCCTATTTCTGGGGAAAATGCCATTGGAATTTTATAGGGATTGCACTGAATCTGTAGATCACTTTGGGTAGTATGGACATTTTAAAAATATTATTTCTTTCAGTCCATGAACAAGGGATATCTTTCCAATTATCAGTGTTGTCTTCTGATTCTTCCAGTGTTTTACAGTTTTCAGTGTACAAGTCTTTCATATCTTTGTTTAAATTTATCCCTAAGTATTTTATTTTATTTGATGTTATTGTAAATGTTATTGTTTCTTAATTTATGTTTTTGGATAGTTCATTGTTAGTGTGTAGAAATACAATTGATTTTTGTGTTTTTTTTTTTTGTTTTTTGTATCCTGCAACTTTGCTGAATTTATCAGTTTTAACAGGTTTTTTGTTTTTGGTGGTTTTTTTTTCCTGGAGTCTTGAAGATTTTCTGCATATGACAGCATGTCATCTGAAAACAGACAATTTTACTTCTTTCTAATTTGGATGCTTTTGTTCCTCTTATTGCCTAATTTTCTCGCTTTGATTGGGACTTCCTGTACTATGCTGAATAGAAGTAGTGAGAGCGGGCACTGTGTCTCTTCCTGACCTTAGATGAAAAGCTTTTGGCTTTTCACTTTTAAGTATGATGATAACTGTGGACTTGTCATGTATGGCCTTTATTATGTTGAGGTACATTCTTTCTGTATCTAATTTGTTGAGAGTTTTTATTTTAAAGGATGTTGAATTTGTCAAATGCTTTTTCTGCATCTATTGAGATGACCATATGATTTTTATCTTTCATTCCGTTAATGTAGTGTATCACATTACTGATTTGCAGATGTTGGAGCATCCTTGCATCCCAGGGATAAATCCCACTTAAACATGATTTTTTAACGTTCATTTTGGTTTGCTAATATTTTGTTGAGGATTTTTGCATCTGTGTTCATCAGGGATATTAGCCTGAACTTTTTTTTCTTGTGGTATTCTTATTGGTTTTGGTATCAGTGTAATGCAAACTTCATAAACAAGTTTGCAAGTGTTCCCTTTTCTTCTATATTTGAGAAAAACTTGATAAGGATTGGTATTAATTCTTCTTTAAATGTCTGATAGAATTTACTAGTAAAGCTGTCTTGTCCTGGATTTTTCTTTATTGGAAGACTTTTAGTTACCAATTCAAGCTCTTTACTCATTATTGGTCTGTTTAGATTTCCTATTTCCTCATGATTCAGTCTTGGTTGGATGTATGATTCTAGGAATTTATCCGTTTATTCTAGGTTATCCAGTTTGTTGGTGTATAGGTGTTCATAATAGTCTCTTTTGATCCTTTCATTTCTTATTAGTTGTAACATCTCTTTATAACATCTCTTTCATTTCTGATTTTATTTGAATCTTCTCTTTTTTCATAGTCTAGCTAAAAGTTTGTCAATTTTATTTCTTTCAAAAAACCAACTCTTAATTTTATTGATCTTTTTTATTGTCTTTCTAGTCTCTATTTTATTTATTTCCACTATGATCTTTGTTATTTTCTTCCTTTTACTAACTTTGGCTTGGTTTGTTTTTCTAGTTCTTTGAGGTATAA